TCCTATTAATCATTATACGCCTGAATGGTGAGTCCATGAATAATGACGTACTAGAAGAAGAAGTCTAAAGAAGTTAGATTGCATAGACCTTCTACCAATCAACCATCAAATATCCTAAATTGTTCCTAATCGTAGAGTTATCAAATGGACACTAATAATACGGACAATTTAACATCCCACATCGACCAACGGAGAAGGGGTGATGTGACTTATATGTATATGCCCACCTCCATATAGCACGAGGCCTTTAGGGAACTCACTGGTTTTGGGTTCCATCGGAACTCCGAAGTTAAGTGAGTTCAGGCGAAAGCAATCCTAGGATGGGTGACCCATTGGGAAGTTCTTATTTGAGTTCCCAGAAACAAAACGGCGAAGGCGTGGCCGGGGCCCAAAGCAGACAATATCGTGCTACAGTGGAGTCAAGATTGGGATGTGACGATATCGTATCAGAGCCACTTTATCGTTCGGTGTGAGTGTGTCGACGAGGATGTTGGGCCCCTAAGGGAGGTGGATTGTAAAATCCCACATCGACCAACGGAGATGGGGTGATGTGCCTTATATGTGCATGCCCACCTCCATTTAACACGAGGTTTTTTGGGAATTCACTGGCTTCGGGTTTCATCGGAACTCCGAAGTTAAGCAAGTTCGGGTGAGAGCAATCATAGGATGGGTGACCCACTGGGAAGTTCTCGTCTGAGTTCCCAAAAGTAAAATCGTGAAGGCGTGGCCTGGGCCTAAAACGGACAATATCATGATACGACGGAGTCGAGATTGGATGTGACAGAATGGTATCAGAGCCACTATGTCGTTAAGTGTGAGTGTGTCGATGAGGACGTCGGGCCCCTAAGGGGGGTGGATTGTAACATCATAGATCGACCAACGGATAAGAGGTGATGTGCCTTATATGTACATGCCCACCTCCATATAGCACGAGGCCTTTTGGGAACTCACTGGCTTTGGGTTCCATCGGAACTCCGAAGTTAAGCAAGTTCAGGCAAGAGCAATCCTAGGATGGATGACCCACTGAGAAGTTCTCGTCTGAGTTTCCAAAAACAAAACCGTGAGGGCGTGGTCGGGGCCCAAAGCGGACAATATCGTGCTACGACAGAGTCGAGACTAGGATGTGACAAAAAATAATACTACATAAGTACGAAAATGAATGCCTGAGTGCAGTGAAAATTGAAGCATGCCATGCCACAATATCTTAGCAATAATAAACGTAAGCCATGTATGAAATTAGTCTAACTAGCATGTCAGTTGGAGTCACCTAATGTGACTTGTACGACTGAACCTATTGCTCATCAGTCTATACTAGCACACAAGTCGGAGTCACCTAGTATGACCAGTACGATAGGCTGGGTGTAAATATGTACGCTCTAATGATACGATCACGTGATGGCTAGTGATAAATCGCGAGTTACCTATTGTTTGGAACTGCCTAATGCAGTCTGTACGATAGGCTATCACTTACTTGGATCCAAGACGACCGTGCGGTACAGGATGTGAACATCACGTGAAGGCTGTGCCCTGGCTCAGAGCGAGAGCACTAACACCGGGGTGCAGTAATGATTAGCTATAACTGAACATACGCATGCTCATATAATGCAACCATTTCAACCGCATAATAACTCACCAGAACTTACCTGCGCCTCCGTAGGATCATTTGTCATGATCACAAATCTCATCATAATGCAATATTTAAATATAACACATTTAAATCATGGCTTGCTATGCATAATCAATTTAAAACATTTCTGGAAACCGTAATATATATAAACAAATGATCACTCACCCTTCTGTTTTTCGCCCTTCCAGGTTTTAGTAGCTGAGCTTCCGTATCGATGAGGATTCTTGGTATATCCTAGTATAGGAGCCACCTATGATGGTATAATCACTATCTTACTTTACTGTACTTTGCTTATGCTTTGTAATCACGCGGGAAATGAGTTCATTGTCGCTCACAAAGCACTCTTATATTTAGGCACTTTTAGGTTTAAATTTATTCATATTTTCCACATCACCACACTTTATGGCTTCGTCACATTCCAGGTGTCGACTAGCACAGCTCGATTCGGAGTCTTAGTGGACATATCGGGTCGGGTATGATTCACTACGAGAATGACTAGTCTCAAGCGATTCGTGTATAAACAACTAAAAAAATGTTTAGGTGCTTAATATAGAATTAGATCACTGGACATAATTATTCAAGAGTACTTGCATGAAGTTCTACATACATATCAAACCATACTCTAATATACAAGATAAAGCTCAGATTGCAAACAATGAGATATGACATATCAAACCACTCACTAAAGGCTAACAACTCCAATAAATCAAATAATCGTTTTAGCAGGAATGCCAAAATCAGGACCCCGTTGGAAATACATGCTCTAGAACAATTGAGATAAAAGAAGAAAACGAGAATATATAGGCAAATTCCAACAAATAATAACAACAATCAAGTCTTATCCTGTTAAGTATAGTCAATTATATAAATCTAGAATGTCATTGCGCTTGGTTTTGCGCCAAATCTTACGTTAGCTCCAAGTACTCCATATTTTTTCCTTAAAGTTTCTTTCAAATTCTTCCTAGGTCTTTCTCTAATTATTTTGACCCGATCCTCCGTCTTATAATCGCATCTTCTAACCAGTGCACCTGTAGGCAAATCCGAACACAAATTATTATTTCTGAAAATTTCACATTACCCCTTGAAACTATATTTTCTTTAACTAAAACCCATCTCCTTTTGTTTTCTTAACTAAAGTTTGACTAGGCTCAAACTAAGAAAATTCTTCCATTAAGTTTGGCTTTTCAAATTGTGTATTTTCTGAATGCCTAAACTACACCTATTAATACTTGGATTGGGTTTTTGGATCAGTTACTTGTTATATCCATTTAATTAATTATATTTATTTTACAAAATATTTCATGCCATTCATTCAATGTATTAACTTTCAAATTATTATAAGGTGTCGATTGAAAAATAATAATACTAATTTCATGATTTTGTGCATTAAATATACAAGTTAATTTACCTACCGACACAACAATAAACCTAAAACAGCTTCAACTATTGCCTATATACTCCAATCCCTAATGCACAAAACAAAAGCTATATGTTCCGCGCAATTTTTACCTACAAAATAGTCTAATTTACCTATTCCATCAAACCAAAATTTAAAGGATCTAATTTACTTCCAAAATTGTCTAATTTACCTACATGATTTATGGGCATTAGATTACAAGTTTATTTAATTGCCTACAACAAATCCACAACATTCAAACATTATCTATTTGTGAACACGAAGTTTTTCTGAAACAAAAGAGACAAGAACAACGTGCACAAAATAATATTTTGGTGTTAATGGATTTATAGGGTTACGATCTCTTTTAACTTGATCCTCTGATTCGATCTCCGTAAGGTGTTGATTTATGGATGTTGTTGATCCAAGGGCCGTTGAGGCTTAATTTTGGATGAACGGTTGGGAGCTTCTTCAAGGGCCGTCGGGGCTTGATCTTAGGACGAACAGTTGTGTGGATTTGTTGATGTTGTTGATCCAAAAGGCCGTTAGGGCTTGATCTTAGGATGAACAATTGTGTGGATTTGTTGATGTTGTTGATCCAAAGGGCCGTTGGGGTTTGATCTTAGGATGAACGGATGTGTGGATTTGTTGATGTTGTTGATCCAAAGGGCCGTTGGGGCTTGATCTTAGGATGAACGGATGATGAACGATGAACACTTTCTTCAAGGGCCGTCAAGACTTGATCTTGAATTGGTGGAAGTTCTTCAAGGGCCGTTGGGACTTGATCTTGAAGGAGGATTTGATGAAGAACGAAGAGGGCTTTCTTGATCCTTCGGGATTTGCTTGAGAGCTTTAGAGTTTCAAAGCTTTAAAGATTTGGGGGATTCTCTTCCAATTTGGGAGTAGAGAAATGTATTTGTAAATTAGTTGATGATACCTTGATGTAGAAGCCTATTTATAGGCTTTGAGAATGAATCACCACCACAAAATATTTTTTTCTTTTCCAAGCACCATTGCCTAATTTCCCACTTAATACAATTTTAAACTTGAAGTGGTAATTTTATGGCCTAATTTTCCACTTAATATCATTTTAAACTTGATATGTGCATGCTTTGTCATTGCCCAAAATGAGAAGAAAATACTTGTGTAATCCTCCAAGGGTATTTCTTCTTATTTTGTCGAGTCACACACCATGTGTACAATTTGTATGACACGTGGCATATGCCATGTATGCCCTGACACGTCAAAATTTTAATGCGTTGGTGAACATTTATTTCACCGCAATTTCGATGTCTACACTAATATCACTAATTTTTATTGGAATAGGTAAATTAATTTAAATGTAGGTAAATTAGTAGAAATAGTTAAATTAATTTATATGTAGGTAAATTAGTATAAATATTTTATAAGTAGGTAAATTAATTTATATGTAGGTAAATACATGATTCAAACAATTTTTTTGTTGTTGTACGAGATATGTCTATTTTTTTAATATGGTAAATTAATTTATATATGTTACTAATATTTATGATGCAAGAAAGGTAAAATATCTATATGGATTTAATTGCTCATCATAATTAGGATGAGTAATAACATTTTTTATTAACCAAATTAGGATTATGTGGCATAAGTTGTAAATGTGTTGTAATAGTTAGTTATATATTTATCGACATACAGTCTATTTGAAATTTGAATTTTATTTGAATGTTTAAAATTAGATAGGGTTTTGTTTGAAAAATAGAAGTTTCAAGGCCTATATGTAAATAACCCTTATTAATGTTGGGTGACTTCAATGCCTCTCTCAGTAGTCAGGAAAAGTGTGTGGGAGTCAAGGGGCATCCAAAAATTTTCATGCGCATATCATGGCTTTTGTAGCCACTCCCTGACACCCATCAACCCCATGCCTTTCGGTTGTTGTGTTGGGACAAAAAAGGGGTCCTACGTCTCCACTACCACTTCATTAAATAGGAGGAGGGGAGACCCAACTATCTCACCCATCACCCACTACCGATCTCTATCTAGCTAGATCTTTGTCTGTCCTTCTCTCTACTGTGTCTGTGTGTTGTTGGGAGAGAAGAGAAATCATGGCTAAGGGAAGAGGCAGTGCAGTGGTTGTTACGGCGGTGCTCCTCCTCGCTTTGCTGCTCCACTGTGAGTGGGCGGATGCAAAAACCTACACCGTTGGGGATAGAGGTGGTTGGACCTTTAATGTTGCTGGGTGGCCTAGTGGAAAAACTTTTAGAGCCGGTGACATACTCGGTTAGTAAATTTTGATATATCCTTGCCCTAGCTCAGAGCATGCATGCAATGATCATTTCTTTATCATTTTACTACGATGTAAGTTGTTATCAGTATTCTAAAAAGTCATTACATATTCGACTTCGATGTGAAATCATGAAGAATGTGTAATTTTTTGAGTCTTAAAATGTATTATTTTCTAATAGATAGTAGATCTTGAAAAAACATGCATGATGAGTTTGACTGGATTTGGTTTTGCTGGTATAGGAGAGAATAGACATCTTGTTGTAATTTGCAGGCTCGTTTGAAATGTTTATAAAATGGTTGAAAGCATTATAATGAAAATGTTTAAGAAACTAATCATTAATAAAAGTACAAGTGAATTTAAAAAAAAAACACTTAAAGTGCTTCCTGCAAGAAACACATAATTTATGTTTCTTGCAAACTACTTTTGAAATAAAAAATATTTTCACTAAAAACATTTTTAGAAAACCTCATTTTAATCCTTAAAAAATATGAGTTTTAGATTATAACCATATGTAAGATTAAAATCCAATTTTAGTCCCTAGCACATTTAATCATATCATTTATTAGTTGTATTTTGATGTTTTATTTTATCCTTTTATTTTTATTTTAATGTATTAATTACATTTAAATTTAATTTTTATTTCATTCATCATAATATATTTTAATGTCTACATTTAGGCAACTAATTTTTTTATAATATATATTCCGATAACAATTTTGTATGTTCTTTATTTAGGTACATTAATACATTTGAATATTTTGGTATATCCATCGGTACAAACATGTAGTTACATTGATTCAATATAATGCATTTCGGTCAATATAATGTATTTCGTTACGTACACTTTGGTACACACATTTGAGTATTGACTTTTAGGTACATTAATTCAATTATTATATTTCGGTAAATACATTTAGATACATACATTTTGGTATTGATATTTAGGTACATACATTTTCGGTATTGACATTTAGGTACATACATTTCGGTATTGACATTTAGGTACATTAATTCTATATAATACATTTTGGTACATACATTTATGTTCATTATAATATATTTTGGTACAATCATGTAGGTACAAATATTTCGGTACAAAAAAGTCAATTTATATATTTTGGCACAATCATTTCTGAACACTTATGTATTTATATATTTTTGTATCACAAATTTTTTTTAATATTTTCTCATTTACATTCATTTCTAATTAAAAAAAAACTAAATATGTGCATATTAATAAAATTAAAATTTAATATGGAGAGATTAAATAAAAATACGCATTAAATAACAAAAATTGAATGTAAATTTTGATAAAAGTACACTCAAGGGATTAAATTGAATATTTAATTTAGCACCAGGTTTTTTTTAAATTTTAATCTTTTACAAGGATTAATGTTCAAAAACCCCTATATATATATAGAAAAGTTAACTAATATTGTGTTGCATGGATTAACATATGATTAATTAACAAGTATGTATATATAGTTTTCAACTACGGGGCAGCTGCGCACAACGTGGTGGCTGTGAACAAAGCCGGGTACCAGACATGCAACACTCCAGGAGCTGCAAAGGTATATCAAACTGGAAGAGACCAGATCAGACTTGCTAAAGGACAGAACTTCTTCATCTGCAATTTCCCCGGTCACTGCCAATCTGGAATGAAAATTGCCATTACTGCTGCCTAGTGTAGTGTTCCTACCTTCCTACCTACCTAATAATAAAGTCTGCCTAACTAGAGGTTGACTAGCTTATATATCACACCTTTTTTTTCAATACACTCTTGTTTAATCCTGTCTATTTTTGCGATTGCTTATTTAATGACTAAAAAAAAAAATCTGTATGAAGAAAATAATAGTGGGGTCATTTTCTAAAGCAAAGCCCTATCCTGCCATGCCTATGCCGCAAGTAAATAAAAATGGAGTTTTAACGAAAAGTCTTCGGTACTGTTTACTTTAACGAAAAATTATATTTTTACACTAAAAAGTCAAATTTGATACTATTTATTTTATCCTTATCGTTAAAATTCAAAGTTTTGAAGTCATTTTCGTTAGTTTTCCTAAATAAAAAAAGGCCATTCTCCCCAGCCCTGGAAGTTCACGTAATGCCTTATCTAGTCGGTCCAAATTATGCGTTTATGAGAGGTGCCAACTCCAATTACTGTCTATGTACGATCTATTCTACCTCCTCTACGTTCATTCTTTCTTTTTTGATTGAGCGAGCAAACTACTTTTAATAACCTTGATGATCCACTATGAGAGCACTATATATGCTAGCAAAATATATGTTGCTGGATACGCTGTTTGTAACTTTTTCACCACTACTTTGTGGGTGAAGAAATAATAGTCTGAGAGTCTTGGTGCTAGCTTTAGGGCCACATTGGACCATTCAATGGTCGCCATTGGGAAAGATCACTTTAAGTAAGCCACGATAAGGTGGCCTCTCTCTGCTCTATCCCTCTTCTCTCCCCCGCCAAGACCTTTACTCGCAAACTCTGGTTTCCAGCCGCCGGCAGCCCGGCCCCTTTCCTTGATTGGGGTCGGTGGCAAGCCTTAAATTTACTTTTCCTGCGGCTCATCTTGTGTTTCCTCCATGGATTTCATTTGGAGACATGCTTAGGGTTTGGGTGGCTCTCAAAGTGTATTTAGCACTACCTGATAAGATTATGGTAAGATTATAGGAGCACTCATAGCGCGGGTGCTTGGTTGTTTTGGTTTGTCTGTGGACTTTTCTAACCTTGTATTAGCTTTTATCTAATGAATTTCACTTTGTTTGACAAAAAAAAAAAAAAAAAAGACTCTTTGTGCTGCTGCTCGGTTTATAAAGTGTCATAATTAAAGAAAAGGGAAAATAAAATAAAAAAGGTAGAAGAAATTGCAATGCCTTCTTTATTAAATTGTTATGGGGATTTGACTTTATTTTTTAAGAGGAAGAAAAGGAAAAGAAAAAGAAGTACAAAATAAAATGATTAGGATTGCAATGCCTTCTTCATTAGTTGAGTAATGATAGAAAAACTAAATTTGTAGATCACATAGAGTGTCTGTATACATAAGATTTTTCCTTCTCCAAAATGAGTATCTGAGTATAAGTATTTTTTTTACAATGTAAATTAAGGTAGTAATTCCACAATTGTAAAAAAATTAATTAACTCAAATACGTGGTGGGGTTGGATTTGCTTATAACTAGCGAGTTTCCGCTACAATGCTCCTAAGTTTTAGTGGCACATTTTTACACCAATGCTACATACCACTCAGTTATATGGGTTCTTATACAAGATTTAACCTTTGTACATGTCCATTAGACCCTCTACATGCAAGACCTAATCGTTAATTTTTCGGACTACTCAATGGTACATACCGAATAGACACCCTCGTCTCAAGGGAAAAAACACACCCTCGTCAATTAATTATTCAAACCAACAATACATATGATTCAAAGAACAAACATAGTTCACTGATTTTACTTAAACTTAAGACATTCAGTCAAGGCTTTTGCCTCATACAAAATCTTAATAAAGTGAGGAATTATATTATTATTTCGCAGTGACTGCTATCTTCATCCCAGCAGCACAGTGGCCAGGAAAACCGCAGATGAAGTAGTTTTGTCCTTGCTGAATTTTGATCACATCGTTTCCCGTCGACAAGAGCTTGCCGCCGACTGTGCATGTCCTGTAACCATTTTCATCTACGACTGCCACATTGTGGAATGCATTATTGTATTTGAACACTGCAAATAAGATTCCATTGCAATCAAATTAGATACCAATTAATTAAATTAATGTATGAATTAACAAAAAAAGTAATATTAGGAATACCAGATTTTTATATTTTGGGCACTAACGTGCCATATATACCCCCACAAGTTTCTTCGGCTCTCGATAGACTCTTTAAAAAATGAGATTCTCTATAGACTTTCTGTCACTTCATTTTTTTGCACAATATTTTGTATTGTTGGCACGAGAATTGACGGTAAACTGTGGAGTGACAGAAAGTCTATGAAGAATCCTATTTTTGAGAGAATCCACTTTAGCTTTCATCCTTCAAATTTTATTTTTTTCACTAAAATGTTTCTTTGGAAAACATTTGTTAACCTCTATTAAAATCAATGATGTAGCATAACTCAATCACTCCCTTTTTTTTCATCAATAATCTTTTGTTGATCGTGATTCTTGATCAATATATCTCAACACTTTTTATCCAAAGCACCGAATTTCCAACAAGTAAAAAAAATTTAGGGCTCATTTGATAACTTATTTCGTTTTTTGTTTCGAATATTTATTTTGACGTGGAAATATATACATAACAGGAAATGAGAGAATGAATGGGAATAAGAGAGATGTAGAAGAAATATATCAGCAAAACACATAAAATGAAACAAAAAATCATTTTCAGTTGGTATCACTTTCAAAACTTTGTTTCTATTAGTATGCTTTTCTCGTATCTCCATTGCTCTTTTTATTGTCCCATTTTTTTAATATACATTTCTCGTATGTTAACCCAAAAAGTAGAAAATAAAACTCAAAACTAAAACGGTCATCAAACGAACACATACACATGATTTATGAATTGGCTGCAACTTAAATCATAAAACTTACCCAACGTATCATTGGCTGTAAAGTTCTTGCCATTAGGCCAGTCATGAACCTTGAAGTTCCAGCCATCACCCTCTCCGACGGTGAAGGTTTTGGCATGAGCAATCTCACCGTGAAGCACCAACCCTATCGCTATCACTGCGGTAACAATTGCACTGCCTCTAAGCTGGGTGGCCATTTTCTGGTTTTTCCTGGTCGAACAAAGGCGAGAGTAAAACTATATGGAACCTATGTGGTGGTTGTTCACGTTTTATAGGAACTCAATCTGGGGTTTTTAATGTTTTACCATTTTTATAAAGATATGTTTTTCTTTTTTTCAAATTTGTATTTAGAATATAGTTTTTTTTATTTCCTAAGAGAGATAGAAATAGACTTATTTTTAATAAATAATAAAGAAATGAATTTTCATAAAAATGGTAAAACTTCAAATACATTTTGTCTAAGAAAATCAAAAGGTGACACTGGATCTAGACCAGCCACTTAAAGATGGTTAATTTAGATTACGATCGTATTGCATTTCATTTCCCATTATTTACTTCTTATTTTCTCCCAAAAAAAGAGAGTAAATAACGGGAAATGCATTATGATCGTAATGTATAATTAGTTTATGAGAAATGCTAACAGGACTCATTAAAGAGGATTTCTGTAGATTCTTTGCCACCTCACAATTTAATGTCAATTCTCGTACCAACATTATAAAACATTGTGCCAAAACATGAGATGGTTGAGATGTTGGAAAATAAAAGGGAAAGTATTTTAAGGTTTGATTTAATTAGTGATTTTATATGATTTAATAAAGGTTTTATATGATTTGATTTGGTCTAGGATTGTTTTGGTTTATTTTCTAGTATTGCTCCTTTGTTATCTTATAAATGCCTCCCTGCGGAGAAGAATAAAGTATTGAAGTTGTATTTGAGAATTGAGTGATTGTAGAACATTCTAAATTTTTCCTAAACTCTTTATTTTCAACTAGAGAATCTATGGAGAGTTTCCCTTTTAAAATAATCTCCTTAACATTGATAGGGTTAATGTGGAGCAAAAAATAATCAAGAAAATTATGGAGGTGACACATGGATTTTTAGGTTAAAAGGACAAAATTACCCTCGAGGCACATATGGATTCTCACGCGCATGCAACAGACAATAACGGCTCAATCAAGGAAGAGTCAAAGGTGATTAAAATGATATTTATTCAAATCCTTCTCATCACTCCTCATCAAATCCTTATTCAAAAGGTAACTCCCAATTTTCCTATTTAATTTGGGATTAATTGTCATGTTAATTGCAAGATATTATTTTACATAATATCTTGCAATTATTCACACAAATTCACCATATATAGCCGGCCACTATTCTCCAAATAGGGTCGGCCACACCCCTATAAATAGTCATATTCTCCCACTAAAATGCTAGGCCATTTGCTACCCACAAACTCCTAAACACATTATTTTCAGAATTCTAACTTTGGTATCAGAGATTCTTCGGCCAAAACCCCCTCCCCCCCATTCATCATGGGTGCGTGAGGCTTTTGGCCTTAATCGTAGGAGTTATTATTTTGCAAGTGCATTTTCGTCAAAGGAGAAGACGGCGGAAATTTGCATCTACAATTAACACATGGTTTTTCTACCTTGGTGCATAAAGTATCATAATAAATGTGGGTAGAAGCTATTGGATGTAAAAATACATCGGTAGGGGAGCGTTCCGTTTAGATAAGAGCACAGCTGTTGACCATCTTCTGATTGTCAATACAATATATAATGACCGCAAATAGTTCTACACTATTGACCCTATAAATTCATGGAGGGTTTGTTCGTGGCTATAATTTCAGTTGGGGATGTTTCCTAGCGGACGAGCACACAGCTCCCCGAGAGGTTAGCGCTGGTTGATGCTTTCTATCGGGCTTCTGCTCTATGGCGGGCTTGTCGGGCAAGGCTGAAAGAGAAGGACAGGGTTAACTTTGAAAGGTGCCTTTGTAGAGCCTTAGGTGTAGGCCTTGAGGCTCCCAGTCAAGATTAACGTTTAGGTGTTCAGGCGTGCCACTGCCATCTTTAGCATGGTAGATGTAAAACAGATGTTGCGTTTTAATTGTATATATACCCGAGAGGCTGTTTTAGTTATGAAATGTGCCTTTATGGGGCCTTAGGTAGGCTTTGAGGCTCTTAATCAATAACTAACCCAGTACTCAAACATATAATGTTTGTTTCATTGATTGCAGAAGTGTTATGACTATTATATTTCTAATTACCCGAGCCCGAAGAGCAGAATGAATCCAAATAGATGCCTTTGTAGGGCCTTAGGTGTAGGCCTTGAGACTTCCCATCAGAATTACTTCTATACTTAAACGTTCTACGAGAATCATAATATAACAGAAATAAAACTAGGAAATAGGTCGATTACTTGCGCCCCAAGTCACTTCAGACTTCTTGTTATCAAAGGCTGTCATGGATGGGTTAAGTCCACATAAGGTTCTTTTTTATGCCTTGAGACCAAGGACTTTTGAATGATCAATCTTACATGCCCAAGGGTTTAGCACTTAGATCTGATTTAAACTGTGACTACATATTCCAATCGGATTCAAGCACTGAGGAGTCTTTTAATCATCAACTTGCTAGAACTAACTTAGATACAAATGGAAGTATACAACATATTACTAGACTTATGAATGAAAAGACAAAAACAAAGAGGGTCGGGCAAGACTAGTCGTCTTGCAACTTCCTATCTTTGTGATTTATAGAGGGGCTTGAGAGCTTAGAAAGAGGGATAGGGAGATGAGTTTACAGAAGGAAATTGATACCACATCAAGATTTATACAAGGTAGCAGAGCTTTTACAAAGGCTTTTGGTGAGGGTTGATCCCGAAAGGGATGAAGGCTTGGGCTGACTACAGCTTCATTGAAAGCAAATCTGGCTTGAGCAGAGTTTGTGCTTATATTTGTTTGGTTGTTTGAGTGTCCTTATCTTTGATTTCTCTTTCTTCTTTTATAGACAGTTTGGCTTGGCATCCTGTAGCTTTAATCTTGCCCGAATGCAGCTTGAAGGGCAATGGCTCATCAGCTTTTTACTTGTACTGCCACTGTAAAGTGCTTTTGGGCTGATTAGCTGGCTGGTCTACACCACTTGGTCTCTAGGTAGGTGAACAAGTGGTTCAAATGATCTGCACCTAGTCAGGAAAAGCCCTATTTCTGCATTTTAGGCTTTTGCTGGGCTTCGGGCTCTTTTCCTCCTAGTCCTTATTTTGGGCCAACTCCCTTTTGAGCCCAAAGTTCAAGTTTTAACCCAAACAGTGCCCCCTTCAATTAATATTTAGGTTGGAATTCCAGGCGCCAATATTGATTGAATAGCCACATACCTGTATACCTCCCATCGAACTTGTATTTTCTAAACGGGACGAATGCAATCTTGCATCTCTTGCTATTCTCATGACCTTTGAGCTATCCTCTGAGGTTTCTATAAATTCAGGCTCGAAATTGCTCTTGTCCAGCCAATAGATCTTCTTCAGCCTTCTCTTTTTTCTCCCTCAACTGGAAAATAGGTTCCTCCGAATTCAATTGGGGTTTCCTAAAACTCCATTTTCATGTGAAAAAGGATTTTCATCAAATGTCTATTATCTCCAACGCCTTTGGTCAAACACCCCGTTGTCTCCAACACCTTTGGTCAGGTATTCTCTTTCTGGTAGCTTGCCATCTTGCTCGTTGCTTTGATAAGTCGGGCTTCACCATCATACCTGGTGATGGTTCGTATTGAGGGTCCTCTACCAAGCTCATCTTGGCCGCACAACCCGATCACCTGATCAGGTTCTATCCATGAAGATAGCAGAAAACTGGTTAAGACACCACTGCATCTAAAAGGAACCATACATAGTGCACTGAGGCAGAATCTGATGTAAATTTCACCAATTTGTCGAAATGAATAAAACATTATTTTATCAACTTTTTATCTTTCTGTCTTCTTGAATGGTTGATGAACAAACATTGTACTTTGACATCCCGAAGCCTGCTTTATCTTGCATCCTCCTTAATATAACAGTCTCTAACATCCCATAATGTAGGACAATACCTTTTTAAGAATTTGACATTAATGGGATGTCTCTGCCAATTTCCTTCGAGGTCCGTCAAGTAGTATCCTCCCTTGTCTAATACTCGACTAATCATGAAAGGACCTTCCCATGTCGGGCACACCTGAGGCTAATTGCGCCATCTTGTTGGCTGCTAGGTTGGATTCCCTGGGAACATGATTAACTGATATCTCAAAATCCCAATAACTCAGCAATTGCGTGGCCACTAAGTAATACCCTGCCATGGTGATATGTTTGCACTTGAAATCCCCATTGAGCTGGTTTATTACTAACTCTGAATCACCAAACACCTCTACTTCTACTGCCCCCAGATCCATCAAGATTTCCAAACCAATTATTAAGGCTTCATACTCTGCCCGATTATTGGTATTCCTTTGGTAATCTAGGAGGAACGAGTAATAATGATAAACCTCTTGGGGGTTCACAATGACAATCCCAGCTTCAGAGGCCTTATGAGTGTAAGAACCATCAAAATAAAGCTTCTAAGGAGTAATCCAGAGGCCAGTCACTTTTTTTATCTCTTGATGGACCCACTCTTCTTTACCCGAGATATTTTGGCTTGGCGGGATCCAAACACTAGTAACTTCCAGGGTCCCCGGGATATTGATTATCTCATCTTGAGACTCTTGATGCTCCGCCAAGAAGTCGGCAATTGCTTGGCCTTTGACTGCCCTCTGGGGTACATACTGAAAGCTGAATTTTGATAATGCTAGAATCCACTTCCCAATCCTTCCCGTCAACATTGGTTTTGACAACATATACTTTATCACATCTGTCTTGGCAATGATGTGCACGTGACAAGGTAACATGTAATGCCTCAGCTTACCGGCAGTGAAATATAGAGCTAGGCACAATCTTTCCACTGGGGAGTATCTTGTTTCTACCTCGGTCAGAATTCTACTGAGGTAGTACACCGCCTGCTCTTTCCCACCTTCATTGTTTTGAGCTAGTAAACTTCCGATTGATTTTTCTGAAGCTGAGATATATAGCTTTAAGGGTTTTCCCCTTTGAGGTGGTACCAACATTGGTGGAGAAGTCAAATAGGCTTTGATGCTGTCAAAAGCCCTTTGGTGTGGTGGTCCCCATTCAAAATCTTCTTTATCCTTCAGTCTCAGCAGAGGAGTCAATGGTTGGATCTT